AGGCACAGCCAAGTATGGGTGAGGAATCTAATCTTGTATATATGATGCAAAAAAAAAAAAAAAGTAAAGGCTAAAAAGCAGCAATCAGTCCTGTAAAAGTCAATACAGTTTTAATAGTGATTGTACAGAGGCCTATTGGGGTAAAAAATCAAGACAAAAATCTAGTACAATTTTCATCTATATATCCAGTGAATTATATGAGACAGTAGAGAGATGCTGGTTTCGCATCAACTTCAGGTCAGATATACCTACAACTCCATGAATATGAATATGGAAAGACGCACATTACACAGGTGATAAGAGTTTTGAAAGAGCTACCCTTGTACAGATTTCTAAGTGATGGACATGGGGATTATGATTACAGCTTGATGAAAATAAATTGAGGGTTAATATACCCATTTTTGGTTGATTTGAACCTATTCATAAATTTAGGATGATTTTTTTTTCTAAACAAAAAGCTGAGGTGGCGATGCACTCTCAGTTTCAATAATAGCACCCATCTAAAAAATCTCTATTAGAAAAAAATAGACATGAACAAATGTAAGCTTCAGAATACAGCACTGGGTAGAATCACGAATAAATTCATAAACCATAATGGTCTAGGCTGCATCTAGTGGGACAAATGCAAATTGCCAAAAAAAAAGAAAAAAAAAAAAAAGAGAAACAAGAAATCCCCAAATCCTAAAAATCAATGACAGAGCCCGATTTTTGTCAGACAAAAGATGAGAAGGCAAAAGGAATTATTGGTGAGTTATGCTCCATTAGTAGTAAATCTGGGTGAAAAAACGCTTTGTGTTTGCTTCTGAAAATGTCAACCTGGATGCATTTTCAAGGAATTCAGTCTGACGTTAAAAGACATGTCATAACTTTGAGGATCCAGGCTCCAGTGTCCCAGAAATCTGTTTATATAGCTCATAATGTAATTACAGCTACCTTAAGACAGATGAGACAGAAGGCAGCAATATATTGAAAAGTAATTGAAAAATGCAGTTGTCCAGAAGCACTTGTGGGGAAGAGGTCTCTGAAAAGCTGCTCAAAGCTTCAGAGTTCGAAGTGAAATTTTTGATGTTGTCACTCTCAATCTATTGAAGAGCTGACAGACAATCAAACCCGTCTGGCTGCCTGGCAGCTCATTTTGCTGGCAGGTGGCAAACAATTAGACACACCAATTTGTGCCTCCTGATGACATTAAAGCATGAAACTAAGTTGTATGCAGGGCCTAGTGATTTGTGTGAAAGCATTTCAAAAATAATACTCTTTGCCGTGGCAACTCATTTCAGACTGCCACCTCCCATTACGTCTTTGAGTGGTGAAGACGACAGACTTGAGTTACGTGTGGTGCAAGGCCGCTTCTGTTCAATCCGTCATCAGCGCCCCCCGAGACCTCAATCCCCTCCTTTCATCAATATCACTTCATCATTTACATTCGCTAGTACTTGAACTGCTGCATACATTAATTGCACACAAGTTCCATTTGACAAAACATGTTGGACACTTTTTCTGCTTTTACATTTTGTTTATGACTGCACAAATTCTAAGGAAGAATACACTGCACCTATTACGCAATGACTCTTATGGACATATTAGCAATGTACAATTAGAAGAACATGCAGAGCAAAACACTCCATATTAAATGCTAAAACAGAATTCTCAATTTCAATTCCATTTACAGGAGTTTGCTTTACATGGCGTTTACTGGCACATAAAATCAGTGATCATGTTAAAGAAATATCTTTAAAACAATGAAGATACTGTTATTTTTCTACAAATTACTTATTACCTCAACTCTTTTTTTACAAGGCACTCAGACATCCAAATGTAAAAAAAAAAACAAAAAAAAAGAAAAAAAAAAAAGAAAAAATAGTCTAGCCTTACAAGGACTAAGAATATCTTTAGATTAAGGTGAAAAATGCATTTCTCTAACCTAGATTTGCTTATAAATATGGAAACACTGTGTTTATTTTAAAAAACCTGAAACAAATAGAACCTGACAAAACAATACACTCCATTGCTCATGATTTTCCCTAGGGACAATAAAGATGACCAATAGCCATATTGCTCAGTGAAGTACCAAAAGCTGTATAAACTGTAGCAACAGAAGATCCTACAGAAATAAAGTCCACAGGCATCGTGTTAAATTTTAACACTTTTTAAAAAATAAGCAGTTTTTAAAAAATAAGCAGCTTATCTTATTTAACTGTTAGTTTTTATTGGTAAACACAATTATATTTACATGAGCAAGTATAGAAAAATAATCATGCTGTGCTTTTTTTCAGTTTTTCAATGGTAATTGGGATACTGTAGGCAACACAAAATGTTCAGAAATCACCACAAGCCAAAATTCATGTTGCTTTCTCAATTAATACTTAAATTAATTCTAATATTATATCAATACACTATTCAAAGTTTTTTTCCCCTTAACCTTTGCTTCATCCCCTGTGAAAAGTTATACTGTCAGCATATGAATCCGCTTCATTTTCTAATTTGGAAAAGTGACACCATAACCACTCATATTTGCCTCCAAAGATTGCCAGAGTGGTCAAGTACTTAGACAGTATGAACGAACTGTACAGAGGAATATTTGCTTGAACAATGGGCATCATTCAATAATGCCACCATGAGGTGCAACCAGACAGTTGAGGCCTTGTGGGCTAAGAACATCAGTAGTTTTATCAAGATGCCCCCAGTTCAATAACATTTCTTTAATTGGAGAAAAGAATGCAATACTTCCTAAACTGCTGGACCTGCCTGAATCTGCCAATTTTTTCCTTCATGGTTGTTGATTATATAAAAAAAAAAAAGATCTACCTCACTCACCAAAATCAGATAGCAAGATCATCTATTTAAGAGAAAAAAACCTTCAACAAATATGTGTGACTTATTTTGCCTAAACTTCACCCATTACCACCTTTTTTTTTTTTTTCTGAAGAAGTAAACAATTCCAAGGGCTGACATGGTACAACATATGCTACCAAGATAAAAACACAGCTGTATACTTTGTACAGGAAATCACGAAATCACAATTTGATCAGGAGGATAACAGGACAGGAAAAAACAAAACACTAAACTCTCTCACTCCTAAGTGAATTTATTAAGTATGAAATGCCTATCAAAATCCATGAAGCACCTCTTAAATATAATTCTGTATTAGCAAATACTATTAATGATGTTCAAAATGTACAAGCAGTCATGTTGTTGCAAGAACAATGAAATGGAGATGCTCACATTAAATACAGGCTATGGACAACCTACTGCAGTTTTTAAATGCTCTCTTATAGAGCTATAACTTAGAAATGCAAAATAAAACTCACATCTTCAATCACCTTGATGTCAAGTTCCCTCTAACAATGACAACCCATGAGGTGATATGCTCCATTTTAATTTAGGTGTCTAGCATTTTGTGAATCAACAACAGCCCTCTGAATAAATTATTTTTCTTATTGACCCAGGTAGAAATTTAGGTGAATAGGTTCAACTACAGTAACCTTTTTGGTGATTACAGTTAAAGTGTTATTATTTCTACATGTAGCATAAATTTTTATACTATTTAATGTACAAGAATGCATTCTGGAATATGATGGTTCCTCACAGAGGATAAGGGAAAATTCCTAACTTTATAGGAAAAAAGAAATTTTTCACTTCACATTGAAATCACTATAAAATGAAAACATGCAGATTGATGAACAAAAAAATAATTTTAATTAAACAGCTGCTAGAACAGTCTCAAGATATAAAATATTAGAAAGGGATATATTCATTGCTTCTAAAGTATATTTCACTGTTCCTGTCTTGATCCAATTAACTTTCTTGCAACAGACACTATCTGATTGCTTATTGAATTATTGCAGAAAAGCAGCTTCAGTACTTATATATATGCAGATAAAAAGGCACCAGCTTTTCTACGAAACTCAAGACAGAAAAGCGCTTCTTCACTTTTATTCTAAAATTCTCACATATCTTTTTGCACTTTACTGTTTATATTATGCTGAAAACATTGATTGCATCTTGTTTTTCTTAAGACTTAAATGAAGACATTTATGACATTTTTGCATTGCAGATTTTCTGTAAATACAGATGGATTTTTCTCATAAATCACAATATAACCGTTTTCTTGTTTAATTTTTTATTTCCTCCAGAGTTTTACTTCTTTACCTGCACAAAGAACTAATATACTTTTAAAACTTCCTTTATGTTTTCAAGACATGTTTAACCACATCTTTAAGTCTTGATTCCATGTTTTACTTTTTAAAAACATTTTTATGAAGAAACTGAAGAGATTTTGTCATACTGAAAAATATGATTACATCAACACTCGTAAGAGTTACATTTAAACCTAAATGGATGAGGTCAATTGCACAACTTGTCACAATTTCTTTGTTCAGGATAACTGAGAGGGACTGGACATTTAAAGAAAACCATATTCATTAGAAACCCAGAAGCTATACCCCAAAAAGATAAAGAAAGGACTCTGTGAAAATGTTCAGCAGTTCAGTTTTAAGCACTAACTTCTGAGCATATTTGTTGTTTAAAGACCTAGAAGGAAACTGTTTTCTACCATGACCATGCAAATAACTTGCCATGGTCAAAGCATTTCAGTACCAGAAAACAATGCAATGATGGATCCAATTAAGATTTAAGCCTTTGAAAGAATATTCAACTGAATTTCTGCAGTCTGTTCTATATCAGCAGATATTACCCCTCCTCCTCCTCCTCACTAAAATGCTGTTTTAAAGAAAAAAAAGATTTTAATGCAAAAATATTTCTTTGCAACAGGCTTGTTTTCCAAGTGTTTTGCAGAGTTTTATTCACTGCTAACAGAGAAAAACAAGGTGAATAACTTTTGTCTATACTATATGGTCCATATTCAGAAAAGAAGTAATGCAGCTGTTAATAACGTAGTCTAATACAAACCCATAGAAGAATAACCTTTTAAAAAAAATAAAAAAAACCTTCAAACTTCTGAATTACATCAATATAAAATAATTAATCCAACCATATACCTGTCAAACGAGTGAAACTGCATGGGAAGAATAGCCTGAGCTTCTCTCTTCAGTGCAGGATCTGGGTAAGGGATTGGATCCGGGCCACATTCTGCAATTTCAACAGGGGCTGCCACAAGGCTTTTCAGTATTTCTTTGACATTGATGCCTTTACTTTGGCTGATACTGGATATCGAAGATGCAGGTTTCAGAATTTCACTGGGGCTTTCTGTTAAGCTCTCCTGAGATTTTTTCACTTCCGAAGACAAAGTAGATAACAGCTCACTCATAGCATCAGGGCCTGTGCTGGTCTCCAAGTCTGTCCCATTCAAAATATTGGGCATCTGTTCATCTCCAATTCCAGAATCTGTATGAGGAATAGAGCTTTCCAGCTGAATATCTTCAACTGGTGTGGGTGTTTCTTTGTCTTTAATATTTTCTGGAAATACAGTTGGTGTCTCTGCAGCGAAATAGAGATTATGAACAATAATTTAGCTTGTTTTTTTTCCCCCTAAAAATATGATCAAAAGGTTTTGAAAGACCTAAATGCGTTAGAAAGCCCACAAATCATAGTAGTTTAAACCATAAAAATTCATTCTACATACAAAACATTTTCAACAGCTGTTTGGCATATATACAGGCTTGGAAGAGGGAGCCCAAAATCACATTATGCAAACTCAGTGACATTTAGAAATTACACCCTACTACTCACACAGTAATCAAACAGTAAAATACTTCCAGTAGAAACAACGTTAAAAATGATAACCTATGGACTGGACATAACTGTATGACCTGTGAGACTACTAGAAGAGAAAACTGCAATCACTTATGCTTTCAGATTAATGTAAAATTTAGTCTTTGCATTGCTGTCAGCAAATATGAATCTTGCATTCAAAAGAAAATTGCTAGACATTTTGTTTGCTTCATGTTTTAAAGTGTGTATTATACATATCTAACACACATCTCGTTACATTTAATATAGATTCATTTATACATGAATGAAAAAATGTATTGTTATTCATTTTTTTAGATAACTCCCCTTTTCCCACAAAAGGTAAAATTCTGTAATTGAGGAAATATTCAAGAATAAAATAAATACAGTTTTATAGACATAGGCAAGTGAAATCTGTTCAATGGAACATTTCCAGATTGAAACAAACTCTGCAACATCTTGTAGCTGAGAAGAGCATACCTCTATTAATTACTTCAGAGAAACAGACAAAACAGCTTCATTAAGTTGTAACTTCCATATTCATCTTTTTGGTTACTTCTTTTAGAGCAAAACAAACTATGGCTATTTTTAATGACAAAAAGCTTGCACTCACTCAAAATGATTTTTTAGTTTATTTTCAAACTACATTATTTTCACTGGATTACTTGTCTTGATTATAAAATTTAGCTGGCCTATGTATGAAATAAGAATGTTTCTTTTTTTTATGGATCTGATATAGTGGTGTAGATATTATGGGAAATATTTTACAATATACTTGGATGAAGCTCTCACTGATACAAACAAAATGCGCTTCAACAATGTAACTTTAATAACAACCTCATAATTCATTACCAATTGTTCAGTACAGTCAGGTGTAAAATATTTATTTAGCACATGGGCCTAAGTTTGGATATGTGTATGTGCACATAAAAAAAATCTATATGAGATTATGTCTTTGAACTAATGGTCGTGTAAACTTCTGCATGAGTACAATTACTAAGAAACAGATACAGATAGAACAGAAGTGGCTTTTAAGAAGACAAAGCAGAATCACCCCTTATAAGGAGTATTGTTTTCTTCTTTTAAAAGCCATAAACACCGAAGCCACTTCCTCCTCCTTTTTCTCCTAAGTACCTTAAACGTATCTTATCAAATAGATATGAGCTCTTCTTTGTGAAGCAGGAAGTAGAAACTGGATTTATGAGCTGCATCAAATGCATTTAGCATCTGCTAGGTCAGGAAGTAAAAAGATCCGTATCTACTTAGTACTGCCTATATTTGGCACAGAAGGACATCTGATCCACAGAATGATCCTAATGAATTTTCTGCTTGTCTATTTAAACTTCATCCATGAAAAGACAACACTTCTCAACTGAAGGGAAGATCAGGACTGGACTGCCAGTCAAGCAGGTTGTTGTCCATGAAATGTATGGTAAATAAAATGGCATAAGGCTCCATTATTATGTAAATGAAAAGAGGGCACTGAAAAAAAAGACGATAGTCCACTACATAGTGAAGTTAGGTTACACCTAACCTCAATTTTCATTAAGGTCAACAACACTGAAAAGAAAACTAAAGACAGGAAATATAATAGAAATACAGTTGTGGTAAGTCAAATACCTGATCTAAACCAGACGAAGGATTTTAATACATTAAAATCATGGCAATGAACTGACTCCAGGCCATTTTTGAAAGAAACAGTCCATGATATTACTGGTATAGTAGTAGGCACTTTTGCCAAACAGGGAAGTGGAGACAGCAACATATGAATGGAGAAAACCACACATGGTTTCTGTTTTTTTAGAAATAGGAAAAAATTATCCGGACAACAGCAACATTCAAGAGTAAGCAAGACTTAAGGATTTATTTTGGAGTAAAGAATAGTAACAGAATGGAATGAGACAGACTACAAAATGACTTTGCTATAAGAGCTTTTTAAATATTTATTGCTCAAAGAAAAAGAGTGTCAATATAGTAAATTCAGTAAAGCTGGGCTGGTCACAACAGAATCTAATTTAGTCATGAGAACCTGGAAATTCATAGAATATGGGGAAAGAAACTGGCTAAGAAGGAGCCATCACTCGGTTTTAAAAGTCAAAAAAACCCATCAAATTGAGAGACACTACAATGGGATCTATCTTGTTCAAAATTTTAATAAAGATTCCAGTTAAAAATATTTGGCCGAAATTTGCTGATGACAAAGTTACAAGGCACAACTGATGGTCACGGAAGGATGATTATAAGGAAGCATTATGGCAGAACCACAGATTATATTTACTGGTGAAAAGCTATGCATCTAGTGAAGAATACAGAGGTTCGTGTTATAACTGGAATTCATCTTCTGTAAATGACCAAATGGCATTATTAATGGCATTAGAGAAGGCTTTGGTAGGATTCACTATGGAATACTGTCTACGCTGTTATAATTGAGAAAGATGGAAGTGCCACTATGGAGATACATAGCAATCTACTACTGCAGAAAAAGAGTTTGACTGACATAGTCTGGCCAAACTAATACTGAAGGGTTTTATGACAGCTATCATATGTATTTTCAGGGCGAAAACTCAAAAAAAAAAAAGGAATTTAAGCTAAATGGAAGAGTTAGAATAAGAATAATTGAGTGAAAACTTGCCAGGAATAAAATTAAGTTTGGGAAGTGACAGTCATCAATATATAATTAAGATTATGGAATAGTTTTCCAGTCAGAGTAGCACGTTCAAAAAATGGAACTAATTTTGAGATGCTAGAAATAGGACTGTACTTAACTACGCAGCAGGTGCCCTGTAATCCTTTGTTCCCAAATAAGAATAAAATGCCTAGAGGCCTGCATCATTTGAAGCTAAAAATAGAAGTAAAATTAAATTTTTGCATGTAGAATTTAAATATGACATACATAATACTAATTAAAATTATTTTGGGAAAAAAATTTGAAGGGAATTATTCAAAATTCAGGTAAGCGTATAGATACTTGATTTCCACAGAAATCAGATTTGTATCTTTACTTTTCTTACCATGTCTCCAACACCTAACGTGAATATGCTGCACTAAGCCAGTTAAGCTTAGTCTGATTTATCACTATAAATAACAGTCTCTAAAAACTACCTAAGTCCAATGCATTAGATCTCTTTTTTAAAACATCAAGCAATCTAAATGAATAAAGGTTTAAAAGGTCCAATTTACTTTTTATGAATCAAAGGATAACAAACTCAGAACAGATAAAATTCTTTATAACTGGCTTTCAAATAAGAATATAGCAAATTAGGATATGTGAAATTCAGATAAATATGGCTGAAAAGATGTATTATTAGACCTTCTTGATCAGTATTATTATTAGTACTATTTAGGTAAATGACAAACTTCTTAGCATAGGTCATGAAAACCAACCAATTTTAGTTACAACACTGCATATCCATAAGTTCTCTTTTATAACATGTCCCAGCACTTCTATTGCCTTCAGATTTCAGGAATGAAGAATACTGCTCCATAAAGTGATATCCTTTTATAAAAATCCTAAATATTTAAAGCAACTTATCAAAATGATAAACATGAACAGAAGCAAAACCACAACTGATTGCATCTGTCTATGTTATAACACTGTGACAGTAAGCCTCTAAATTTTCAGCAAACCTCATCAGTTTTCTACAGTACAAGGCCATGTCAGTAGACAAAGCAGAAACATTACTAGATCTAGTGATCTTAACCCTGTCAGAAACAGGCAGTTGGAAGCCAGATGCCTCCTTCTTACTGTTTTTCATTGTAACTAATGAGTTCAGCTACATTATGGAAAAAATATGGGCTTAAGTTAACTAAATTACATATTGTATATCTGGTGACCTCATCCGTCACGCTGCTTCCCTAAAATATCTTGTTTGCTTGTGATTTATGAAGTGTATTGTAATTGTTTTAACCTACTGAGTTACCTATATAGCCCTTGCACTGCTTCCATATGCCTAAAAAATACAACCCACACTGCCCCTATTTAGTAACTTAATAATGAGACATTTTATATGTCAGGTAAATATACACAATATTGCCATTATTAAAAAGGACAATACAAAATATTCTGCTTTTAATATTTATTTACTTTAAAAAATGGAAAAATTGTGTGTAAATTCCTGCAATCCTTTTATCTTTTTCACCTCATTAAACCTCCCAAGTAAAAATGAGCTGAAATTTTTCAAAAGTAAAATGTATGAAAATTAATTTTTTAAGTGCTTACAATACGGCTGAAAATTTATTGGGAAGTCATACTATTCCAAATTATTGTCAAATTTCTGCTGCAAACAATGTAGAAACTTTTGACAATGGAAGGTTTGGGGCAATCTTGATATAGGAGTTGCTGCCACCTTTCAGTCTGCATGTGCACTGGAAAATTTATGAGTTGTTTTCTGTATAACTATCTTAAGGCATGGGTGATAACCTTAATAGCTGCCTTTTATATACCCCTTTGTAGTTTTCTACAAACTTTCAGAAGAAGTACACTACAAGCTGAAAATGCTTTCATTCCAACTAGGCAGTGATATTACAGCTTCCTTCATAGATGGAAGAGTCAACTAATCAATTCCTAAACTCTAGCCTATAAAATAGAGTGGAAAAATTCTTCCTAGCAACACCAATCTAATAATTTTCAAGTATATGAAGCACCACAATTAAACTGACATGAGAAACTAAATATGGGGACAGAATCAAAGAGTAATAAGGATCTGATTTAAAAATACATTGAGAGGAGTAAGCAAGAATGAAGGTGC